AGTCATTTTGTGCAAAAAAGGAAGTGCGTAGGCTAAAGCTTGGATGAGCTCACTAGAAATTACTTTCTATTTTGGGTCTCTAAGTGACTGCGGTTTGGGGATCATAAAATAAGATGGCTTTGTCTTTGGTCACAGCCTGTGTAAGCTTTACATACAGAAAAAAAGAGAAGGTTGTGTAGACAATAGAGAGAAACAGAAAAAGAAAAGGCCTATGAAAGAAGTCTCTTGAAATCGCTTTTCGTTAGCATACGAGCCACCTGGTAGGAACATCTTGAATTGATCAAGCCCTACTTACACAGGAAAACATATTTATGTTGATTATCATTTATCTTGATAGCTTGAATTATTCTTCCCTATTTTGGTATTAGATAAATATAGATTAGCTAAAATAACCTATAGACTACTACTGTTCCAAAGAGGTGACAACAAAGAATGCTAAAATTATTTCAGTTACTCTTTTGTTTGCAGTGACATGGAACACGTTGAATTAATAATTGGTATTCGTGGGGCGCCTGGGTGGCGCAGTCGGTTAAGCGTCCGACTTCAGCCAGGTCACGATCTCGCGGTCCGTGAGTTCGAGCCCCGCGTCAGGCTCTGGGCTGATGGCTCAGAGCCTGGAGCCTGTTTCCGATTCTGTGTCTCCCTCTCTCTCTGCCCCTCCCCCGTTCATGCTCTGTCTCTCTCTGTCCCAAAAATAAATAAACGTTGAAAAAAAAATTTTTTTAAAAAATAATCGGTATTCGTATTTCTATTATTAGTGGGGAATCTAGACTGCATCATTTTCATCAATCATAGTTAACAGGGTCAAAATAACCTTCACCACAAGTCATTCTACAAAACGGAAGCGTCACTATACAAATCTGGTAAACTTCTGTCATGCTCTCGCCCTGTCTGTACTTCTGTGTACCTCCTCTTACAGAGGCACTCATGACCCAAGGGGTTTCGGTTAGTTTTGGAGAGGTGACCGACATCAACTTGGCACCTTTAGAGACACGAAGGTGCTTCTAAGCATTCTGACCCTAAGCTGCAAGAAACATCCGGTAACCGTGAAGAGGTACCAGTATCCTTTGAAGGGATGACAATTCAGTGAGCTGCATACTCAATCCAAATACATACAGGTCAAGGTCCCCAAAGCCTATCTATCTCTTTCTCCTTATGTTGACTCCGACATCAAACTCTAATCTTGATGAGGCACTCTCCATCAGACCTGCACATAAGACCAGTGTGGTTGCTAGGATTAAATACATCACCTGAATCCTAAATACAAATTATTCTGTGTATTTATTTCACAAGACACCTCTCTGAAAGACTGTAAAATTGATAGGTCTTTGCGGTCACAGACTGACCTGGTCCTTCTGGTACTTTTTTTTTTTTTCTCTATGGATATCTATCTTTTCTTTTCTGAAGAATGAAGCAAGCGTGTGCAGATATATTAGATGCAAAGAAAACAATTTCGAATGTTTAATTTCCAAAAGACAGAAGCAAATCTTTACTAATATTCAAGAAAAATAATATATTTGGTTCAATTCATTCATTCATTCATTCAACAATGTTTATCTGATGTCTACTAAAGTGGCAGGCATATTTTCAAATCAAAACAGTGAACAGGGTCACCTGGGTGGCTCAGTTGGTTAAGCATCCGACTCTTGATTTCAGCTAAAGTTATGATCTCACAGTTCATGAGTTCAAGCCCCGCATCGAGCTGTATGCTGACAGCATGTAGCCTGCTTGGAATTCTCTCTCTCTCTCTCTCTCTCTCTCTCTCTCTCTCTCAAAAATAAACAAAAAGACAGTGAACAACACAGACAAATATCGCTGTGCTAATGCAGGCAATATTGCAGATGATAAGTCACTGAACTACAAATCGGGATTCTAAAATACCGTTTTACAATAAAAATCAAAAATTTTTAAAACAAATATGATAAGCTTAATTTATTATGTTCTGAGTACCAAAAATAAGCCTGGGATTGACCAGATGGTGTAGAAGATATTATCATATATTTTATAAATTAGAGAAGACGAAAATAAAACCACGTGGGACCTTTAGGAGAAGGCAAGTTGATTATTTTTACTACATAATGCTTTAGCCGGTACTTCTACTAGGATTCCTACGTTCACCCATTTGCCTCTCAATACCCTGGCTCCTACCTGGCTGGTTAGGAAAAAGGTCACCTTTCCCCCTTATTTAATGGTATGTACACAGTCACAAAAAAGGTGAAAGTGAGAAGTTTAAGTTGCAATGGGAGCACATGACAGGATGAATAAAAGATGAGCGGGGTGGGGGTGGGGCGCGCCTGGGTGGCTCAGTCAGTTAAACATCCGACTTCGGCTCAGGTCATGATCTCGCGGTCCGTGAGTTCGAGCCCCGCGTCGGGCTCCGTGCTGACAGCACAGAGCCTGGAGCCTGCTTCGGATTCCTGGTCTCCGTCTCTCTCTGTGCCTCCCCTGCTCGCGCGCTCTCTCTCTCTCTCTCTCTCTCTCAAAAATAAATAAAGGTTAAAAAAAAAAAAAAGAGGGGCATGGGAAGTTCAATAATTACAGCTCAAGAGAAGCTACAGAAACAGATATGGAGATCTCTGGCTATAAGTAAGTGACTCAGACACTTCGTACTTGACAGTAAAAAAAAAAAAAAAAATACAGAAAATTAATTGCAGATGATGAAGTGGCCTTTATGTAATTATACATATATGTATGACATGAAAGTATGTTGGAGAAGCTTAAAATATCACTTTCAAAGGGTCCAAAGGCAGAAGCAAAGCCATCATGGTCATCAGTAAAAGTTTCCTAGAATTCTATACAAGAATTCAGATTCAAGAGTTTCCTAGAGTTCCATAGAAGAATTCAGATTCAAGAATGGATAGAACGCTCTTGGTTTTGAGAGCGCACGGTGTACACTGTATGTTAGCTAACTGGACAATAAATTATATTTTAAAGAATAAATCATGTGTTCAATGAAAAAAAGGTACAAACTTCCAGTTATTAAATAGATAAGGCACAGAGATAAAAAAAAATACAGCATAGGGAATAAAGTCAATAATATTTTAATAATGTCGTATGGTGACAACTATACTTACTGTGAGCAATGCATAACGTATAGACTTGTGGAATCACTATGGTGTGAGCCTAGAACTAATAATGTATATCAACTATACTTAAAAAAAAAACCCATCTGAAAAAAAAAAGGATAGAATGCTTCAGCAGAATTTGGGAACAACAGAATTCTCTCGCCTAGAATGGCATTAGCTACATCACGTATGCAGGGAAGTACAAGGTGTGTTTGAGATATATGGAGCAGCCCATTTGGTGGGAACACAGGGACAAGAGGGGAAACAGTACAAGATAAAGCTGGAAGCTAGAACTGAGAATCATACTGCCAAGGACCTCAAAGCTGGGGGTAAACATGGATTAAGTTGATGAACAAAAAGCAACACTGAGATTATGGCCAAGTACCAGTATATACGACTACCTGTGTCATACTGGGAATTTACTCAAAGTTTTCATTTTCGTGTTATGTAATGAATTTCCTGATAAGACAGGTCTAATACAGTCACATGGTCTTTAACAAAGGAGGAAAGGCAACTAAATGGAGAAATGATAGTATCTCTTTTCAATAAATGGTGCTGGTACAGCAGACATCCACATGCAAGCAATGAATCTAGACATAGACCTCACATCTTTCACAGAAATTAATTCAAAATGGATGACAGAGCTAAACGTAAAAGGCAAAACTATAAAACTCCCAGAAGATTATGTAGGCTAGGCTTAACCTGTAAGGTTTTATGTATTATTGAGCCCCATTCTAGGACTGGCCAGGAGTACAGAAACAATAAGCTTCTAAGAATCAAAATCCTCTCCCTCCTGCCCTAGAAGACAGAGCAATAGTGCGATGAAAATTCTTCAAGAACGGGCGCCTAGGTGGCTCAGCTGGTTAAACATCCGGCTCTTGGTTTCAACTCAGGTCCTGATCTCGCAGTTTCGGGAGTTTGAGCCCCACGTCGGGCTCTGAGCTGACAGTGCGGAGCCTGCCTGGGATTCTCTCCCCCCCCCCCCACTCTCTCTGCCCCTCGGCAACCCATGCTCTTTCTCCAAATAAATTTTTTTTTCTT